TTATACCGATAACAATATCCATTATTGTATCGATAACAATATAGATTATTATATTGATTATTATATCGATTACAATAGCTGTTATTTAATCAATAACAGTATCGATAACAACATCGATTATTTTATCGATAGCAATGTCGAATATTATATCGATAAAAATATCGGGATTATATCGATAACAATATCGATCTTCATCCTCATACTTTTCTTTATTTTTGCATATTCCTCTTCACCTTTACCTTAAAGTGTTTAAATTTGCTTTGATCTTCGGTTTTGCCTGTACCTCTAGGCATCTTTGTTTTTGTTTTTATTCTCAAAGCGCTAAACCGCTGAGAACGATTTCCATGTGCATTATTCCCCTTGAATTTGACAATTTACTCCCAACTGCCGCCAAAAAAAAAAAAGTTTACTTCATAAATTCAAGAAATGTTCTTACCCTAATTCTTATGCATCTGTCATTGCCTCCATTTTCGTCTTTATCTTCAATTTTGCCCTTTTTTTGACTTCATCGTTCTCATTTATTTCTTCATCTTCATATTTATCTTTATTTCAAAGCTTAATTTCAAATGTGTAGTGAAACAACAGGCGAAACATGTCAAATTGAACATGTTGCAGCAACATCTATACACAATTCGAAAATGTTTAAACAACGGTTTTGGCCGTAATTTTCAGCCAATTGTGGAACCATAAAAACTCTGCTCATATACGGAAAAATGCCTTTCCAACGGTGTTCTTGGTTTTGAAATCGGTTCGGTAGAATCGCCAAACGAACGGACACAAAATTTATGTTAGCGTATTAATATATGTGACCTGGTCTACGGAAAGGGGGCTTAGGTGTCAAAAAATCAATTTTCACTTTTTGGTTGATTCGGATGGAAGATGAGATGCTTTTTCACGTGGTGAAAAGCAGAAAATCCTAACTTGCTTAGAAGTGTACTAAAAATGTAGAGAAAGAAGAGTAAAAACGAGTAAACGAAACGAGTTGCTTACTTTTAACAGCTTTTTCACAGAAAACTAGTTTTCGCACGTAAGCTCCCTTTTCGTAGACCAGGTCACATATAGATTATTCAATAATTTAAATGATTTATTACAATATGGGAATCAATCGAAATCATTTTCAAAGGGCTTTATTTCAAAACTACATGTAAGTGGTTTTCATCGGTTAAGTATCTCAAATTGAGTTCAGGGGATAAGTTCATTGATATAGTATGGCAAGTGAGAACTTTAAGAAAGTTTTAGTTTCAAAATATTTAGAAGGTGGTTAAACAAATTTTTAACATCCTGTTTTTGAATTGAGTTTTCTTGAAATAAATTTTACTCAATGTAGCATTTAAAAATTTCATACACTCAGCGAAGCGGGTGAGAGAAATCTAGTATATATATAAAATAGTACCCTGAAATGCCAGCTTAATAGGGTCGAGCCCCTTCCCGCCTAAATTCATTCTGGCTACGCCGATGTATGTTATAATTATTTCTCCTCGACTAAGCTGAGAGTTTAATGTTGTGTATGGAGCTTTTCGGTATTTTATTACAAATAGAATAAACGTCTATTTTCCTCCTACTTGTTTTGACGCATATTCACGTCTTCCTCCGGGAATCTATTTATAAATACGAGAAACATATATGTACATTAGGGTGGTCCAAAAATGCATGTGAAAAAGTAAAGTCGGAATTTTTATGCTCTCACCCCCTAGGACTGTTCTATACCGAAATAAATATACAACTATTTTTATACCGTTCATGAGCATGAAATGGTATTATAACTTTGGCCCGATATTTGTAAGTACCAGAATAAGAAGAGATAGACCCATTAAAATGTATACTTAAATGCTCAGAACGTCGAGCTGAGTCGATTTAGCCATGTCCGTCTGTCCGTCTGTCTGTCTGTCTGTGTGTCTGTCCGTCTGTTTGTATGCAATCTAGTCTCTTAGTTTTCGAGATATCCGGATGAAATTTGGTACGCGGGTGTATTTTTATAATGTATCAATCATTTGTCGGAACCGGAAGAATCGGACTACTATAACATATAGCTATCATACAACCGATAGTTCAGATATGAGATTTTTCGTTATAACTGCTCCATTTATGCAGCTAGGAACATGAAATTTTGCACCTAACCTAACCTATAGCCTCCATACAACTGATTGTTCAGATATGAGATTCTTTGTTATAACTTCTCCATATATGCAGCTAGAAACATGGAAATTAGCACTATTTTCACTCATTATCAACAGAAAGTTTACAGTAAAATTAATAAAGATCGGGTCACTATAACCTATTTATTGCTACCATACAACTGATTGTTCAGATATGGGCTTTTACTGTAAAAATCCTTTATTTGGACAGCTAAAACCGATAAATTTCGTAAGCTATTTTATTAATAATAATACAAAATCTACTAAGAAAATCGTAAAAATCTATGCTGTGTAAGCTTTATCTCTTATACCAATGATTTTTCAGATACCAGTTTTTGCGATATATCTTCTTTATGTAGGAAGCTAAGCCTATTAAATTGTGTTTCCGGTCACACAGCAGTGAAAATCACTTAGATTGGTGCTATATAAGGTATATCTTCCATACCTCTGATTGTTTGGATATGATTTTTTATATATGTGTATGCTGCGAATATATATTTTTTCAAATGCAGTAATCTGTTAAAGTAAAACTTTCAGATGTTCATGAAAGGTATGAAGTCTTCGGCATAGCCGAAGACAGCGCTGCTCTTCCTTGTTTTATTTTGAAATCAAAAAATAATTAGAAGTCGCTCAAAGCGCCCAAAGTTTTCCATGTATTTTATATGGGGAAAAAAACTTTTGGTAGAAATGGTATAAAATTCAAAAAAAACTAATATTTTTCTATCGGTAAACTCTTTATCTGCAGGATTCCCAATAGTTATACGCAATGGTTCATTTAACCATTTTTTCATCGCAACTATAATTTATAGGTCCGCCAAAAACCCCGAAAAATGCAATGGGGGGACAAATAAAAAATCTTTAGTATTAAAAAATGGTTAAACAAATAATTGGGTATTATTATTGTAAGTCTCCTGAAGAGAACCAGAGTTTTCCGATCGAAAAATATTGATTTTCAAGAATTCTACACCATTTCTGCGAAAAGTGGTTTTTTTCCCATATAACAATACATGGAAAATTTTGAGCGCTTTGAGCGACCTGTAAATATTTTTTGATTTTAAAATAAAAAAATAGGGGTATCCTTTTTTTCTATATAGAACAATCCTAGGGGGTGAGAGCATTACAATTCCGACTTTACTGTTTTTGGACCACCCTAATGTGCATGGAGTCATATCAAGAGCACCTCATTGCAAAGCGATATTGTTTTCCGCTTATGTTTATTTATTTTTAAGAATTTTCATTAAAATAAAGTTCATTCTCTGAAGAAGTCCATACAAACCCGAATTTAAAACTTTGTAGAAACCTAAAAAAGTCTAAAAATGCTCATCCAAAGGTCAAAATTATTTTCCCAGAATTTTTTGAGTATATAGATTTAAAGCCCTTTCAATTTTATTGCAATAATGCGCAAGTTTCAAGTGGCTAAAAATTTCCGTTGTTGCGGTTTTCTTCCATATAAAAATAAATTGTGTTTATTCGTTATATGGTAGCAAATGCGAGAAAAAGAATCAAAGGTAATTTTAAGGCTCTTGAAACTTGCACATTATCACATTAAAATTTAATCGGCTATAAAACTTCACACTCAAGAAAATTGTAACACTTCTGACTAAATAAATTTGAAATTTGAATGAAAATTAGTTGATTTTTTTAGATTTCTACAAAATTTTAAGCGTGGGTTTACATGGTTTTTTTTTAATAAACTTTATTTTAATTGAAATTGAACATACTGAAAACAAAATTTCAGTGGTTAACCAAAAAACAATATGAATTGTATAAAGCTTAAAGGAGTAAAATGCCTTAAAAAAAAAGAAAAATGGATGATCTCCAGCAAATGATCACTAAACGCTATATACCGTCTTGATTTCATGAATTTTATAATAGAATTAGAGAAATATAAACTAAGCACTTGAATTTCCAATACAAATTATACTTTTATGATTTAGTTTAAACCTTAAATGTGCTACTCTTCCACGCAAAGATCTGAAATGTGCTAGTCTTCCACGCAAAAATCTGAAATGTGCTACTTTGCGACGCGAATAATGAAATGTGCCACTCTTCGTAGGGACCGACGATACATACATGACTCCTAAAAGGTTCATATAAGAGTCAAAAATTGTTTGCTTTTGAAACTCATATTTCGTATCCACCTAAGACTTCATTCCGGACTAATATATGTACATATTCCGAACGCTTAGAATATGTTTGCGGGGTAAATGTGTTATGTTCCTTTTTGAAATAAAAAAATTTTACTTTTAAATTTGTATATGTAATTTTTCTATTTGCTTTATTAAGCTTTTTAATTTTTTCTTTTATTTCACTAAATCTACGGTATAATAATTCTTTTTATATACATATTAAGTATTCCTAATTGTGCTCGAGCACTTATACCTAGGACTTACTAATAAATAATCAACTATAAATTGAACTAAGTTTTTACAATTCCAAAAGAAACTACTTACATAAATAATTTTTGGCAAAACACTAACCTATACATATAACGTAAATCTTAAAAACTAATAGTAACTAACTTCTCTTCGAGAGCTTAAGTACTGAATACAGTTCTTATAAAAAACAGCAAAACGATCACTAAACATAAATATTTGTTAAATATTTTATGGCAGCAATTTAGGTTAGGTGGCATTTAAGAAACAACTAATTTAAGTAGTTAAAAAAGTAATGTTAGCGACTCTATGAACAACGAAAGTGATTCTAGAGCTGAATTAATGAAGCTTAAAACTACATAAATATGTACCGGCACGCGTTTTGAATGAAGTTTCGATTAGTGAGAGACATTTGAGACAACAGACTTAAAAACTATTGGGATAATACAGTGATGCACTCTACTAGTGGCATGAGCGAAGACCTTCGCATTGGCGTGACTTAGAACTACCGGCAACCACACGACTCGACAACCATATTTGGAAAGGTTTTCTGTGTCGCTGTATTGTTACTATCCATAAAGACGAGCTGCAGCGAAGAATACTGTTTGGCGGTGCAGCAAGGTATCAGCTCAAGCGGCTTGCTGCCTCGGTTGCGACGCGACAATGCGACTTTCTGCAAGAAACGAAACCCAAATTGAGCGTAAGATAGTATCATCGGCATATTAAAATGTATGTATGTAGGTATGTATTATGGTAAGTGGACTCATTATGCAATACCTGCAAGAAAGCGCTATGGTGCGTCGCTGATTGTGCAACACTCGCCACACTTCCGCATGACCCGCGGCAGAAGTAGGCGTCATAGCCGCGTGGTTGTATGATCCAGTCACCCCAACCAATTTCATCGAATGAAATGTATAGCTTCTCGCGGCAACACTCCGTCACACCGTCCGTGCAATTGATGCCACGTTTCTGACGCGACGCCCGACGACGATTCTGTGTGTCGACCATAATGAATGGACGATAATCTTTATTCACGGAAATCATTTTCTCCATTGAAGCCATATCGCATGTGCGACATGAAATGTGTATCAGGTGGCTGAGGTCGTGGTTGCCGAACCATCGTTTTATTGGCCATTCAATATCGATCTTCATCCATTCGTCTGTAATGATAAGAGGAAAATTTTGAATATTAAAAATTTGTTGATGACTTAAAAATGCATAACTAATACAAATGCTATGTATACTGGGCTCACGGTAGTGTAGACATTTTTTTAAACCCTCATGAAAACCACCCTCGATATTGTTACAGAATATCAAATGTCGATGTTTCAGTAATCATCTCCGATCAAATCTTATCTTGGTACCTTTTCGAGATAACTGTGATTTTATATAATTCATATATAATATACTACCAGACCCGGCAAACGTCGCACAGTGCTTCCCTTCCATATGAAATGTGGAAAAAATAGAATTATGAACGGATTTAAATGAATCTTAGTAAAATTAAGGACGCTAAATTAAAAAATGCAATTGGTTTTTGGATAACTTACATACTTTCACTGTAAATGCTGTTTGAATTTGGGTTATTGTGGCTTTTACATAGGTATGTACATATAGTTCGTTCTATTTTCAAAAGCGAGGTGTGAAATGACAGGGCTTGGCCTGTAGATGTGCAATTAAGTTTTTTATTTTTGCACCTGATACAAATTTTATTAAAATTATTTAATAAGTTACATGAATTAGATATTAAAATATGGGTATCAATTGAACTAGTTTTGAAAATACTTTACCTCTAAATGACACGTAGAAGGGGTGCCACATGTTTAAAGAATCAAATTCACTTTAACTAAGGGAATAAGGTAACTGAAATATGTATATCAATATGAGTACAAGATAAATGAAAAAATTTGACATATTTTGCAAGAAATAAGTGGAGAGTAAAAACATTCTTGAGTTAATTTAAGAGTCCAGTAATTTAAAAGGAATGTAATCAGAATAAATCACTGATTGACGATGACCTAGTTCCTTTAATTCAAGTTTAATTTGTTTTCTTTTTGAACAGGTGGCAACTCGCTGCATCTAGTTAATACACATTTCGATTGATACCCATCTCTTAATAATTCATTTAACTTTTAAAAAAAATTTAGTACAATTTTTTAACAATCTAATTTTTTCACAGGAGGCAACTCTTTAAAAACAAAATAAACCTTCTATTGTCCACAGGTCATTCTTTTTAATCTGACACCTAATTTTTGAAAATGGAACGAATCGTGCAGATCTCAATGCACTGACAAAAAATGAAAAAATTATTTTATGCATTAGTGAAAAACGTATTACTTCAGAAAGGGCAAAAAATGATCCGGTTTTTATTTCTTCTTTTGAAAGCTAAAAGCCTGTACTATTTAATAAAATCATAAAAAATAACCTATTTTTACATATATTTTTTTTATTCATTCCATTAAAATTTAGCATTTTTTGAAATTTTGTTTAATTTTTTTTTTTTAATTTTTATGGAACACAGCAGGGACACGCTGTGTTTAATTTTATCCCAAAATTTTAATTCCTGTAATTCTATGCTATCTATATGGAAACAAGAAATGTCGCACCAACATTTTATTTTAAAGAATATATTTTTGACATTTTTTTCTGTGAAGAGCTTACGCCTGGCTGTGCTTTTATTAAAATTCTTAGTATAAAATTTGTCGACTTTAGTGGCTTCCTGGCGGCATATAAATATTTTTTTAGGGAAATGTCTGCTTAATTCTTTTTAGTGGATAAACACAGCCAACAAAAAAATTTAAAAAGGAACTTGAATTCTTATAAATTATAATAAATAAAAAATTTTCCTAGTAACCCTGATAAAATATAAGAAAATTTTGTACAAAGTTTTGAACTTTGATTTTTATGGTTTGTGTTGTAGGATCAACTATCTTTTTCATACAAATTTAGCGAAAAAACATTGCGAATATAACACGCACACTTTTTCAGCAGGGTGTATGTAAATATAAATCTATCACATTGTTTTGGAATTTACCACAATTTCTCAAGCTAATTTACCACTATTTTTTCAGTCCGAACACTGCCCTCACCTATTCAATGGAATAGTGTGGGTTCATATGCAGATTCGTTAAACTAACAAGAACTGAATAATTGTAATGATGCCATGAACTTTTCTTAGGTTCTATTCAAATAAAAACTTCCCATAACACTGTACGGTAAAATCAACTTTTTTTTCTGGGTATTGGACCAAACCAATTTTTTAAGAGATTGAGTCATAGGTAAAAGAGTGATTTCTCCGCTTTTCGAAGTTAGCCTCCGAAATCGAGATATGGACCTTCGAAGTTCGAAATTGGACCTTTGGTAAAAAATTAGTAGAACGATACGAACTTTTTAAAAATCTGTTCAAAATTTTCTGAAATATAAAGTTTTTGATTTTTCGAAGATTTGACTTTTGACGCGTTATAGCATCTGTAATATAAGCTTTCACAAAAAACTTTATATACCATATAAATAAGAGCGAAAGGCGTCTGTATTTTTACCTTTATTTTGCTGTTTACATGCAATAATTAAAAATAATTTTTTACCAAAGGTCCAATTTCGAACTTCGAGAAATTACTTTTTTTTACATATGACTCAATATCTTTAAAAAAAGTGGGTTTGGTCCAATACCCAGCCGAGTCCTGTACAGTATCATGAATACGGTCAAGTACAAACTTGTACTGGTTATTGGTACATTGCGAAAGTCCAATTTTGTAAAGGCAGTTTTACATTATTTTTTGTTAGCATTCTGTAAGGAGTATTCCAAAATAACAGAAAATTCACTTAGTTTTTGTAAAATAAAAAACACCGTTAGACAGCAATAAACCAAATTTACACTTTCAAAATGTTATTGATACGTTGTTTGCGCAACTGGTTTATTTTGCAAGTTTCAAGGAATTTTTTTTTGTAAAGTTCGAATAATTAAAGAAAAGTTTTAAATGGAAAACAAAACTATAAGTGAGAACTATGTCCCAATTCAAAAAAGTTACTTTTTATAATTTTTTTGCAAAAAAAAAAAAACTGACTTATTTGCATAACCTCAAAAATTTTCTGATTTATTTCCATTTATGATTTTATGTTAGCTTTTACAATTTTGTTAACTTTCGGCAAACAAAATGGAAACGGAAATGGATAAATTAAGAAGTAGTGAGTTGATTTTATTTTACTGAACCCGCCGTTTTTAGCCGTTTTCGAGAAAACGGTTTTTTTCTGGGCTATCATGTTATCTCAGAAGGCGAGTTGTTTGAACTTCGGCTGATTGGATGTTCGAAAAAAGAAAAGCCTTTTTCGGTTGTCAACCATGTTGGAAAAAATTTTGGTACAGCTGACATTTGCGAAAGTTCCATGAAACTCTTAGAAGAAAAACGTGTATTTTTTGCAATTACTTATCTAAGAAAGATGAAAATTATGGAAAACAATTTGGAAAGGATGCTAAAATATTTAGATCTGAAAACATAGCGTTTCTTGCTGATGAAGTTCTCTTCGAAATCAAAAAGCCAACTGTGTCGACCATCAGCCGGATTCTAACTTTCGCTATCGCTAAAATGCTAACATAGGAAAGCTAAAATTTTTCCGAATTTTTAGCTATCTCCAAACATATCTCCTAAATTTTTTGGTGATAAATAATCTATTTTAATGGTGATTAATAGAGAAAATGGAAGTATGTGATAGCAGAAAAATAGCTGCCTGTAGCGTAGCCGTGGCTATGTTAGAAATACACTTGCGCCGATTCGGAAAGACCATTGATGAGCAGCCTTCGCAAACAGGCAAATCCCTGAGAGAATTTACGGATTGAAATTTCGAAATTTTTTGCTCAAAGTGAGTAGAGCTTTGAACATTCTTGGCACAAATTAATTTCAAAAACATTCGTATTCTTTTCAAGTAGTTATCAGCGATTTTTGGTAAATTTGGAGAATTTGGGAATACTGGAACCTCAAGTGAAAATTAAGTATTTTATGAAGAGTAACTGCTTTAGGAATCTCTCCTCAAGACATATCTGCGAGACATGTAGTAAATATTTTTAATTTAGGAATTTTGATAATGCCATAATTAATCGCTAGAAGAAACCATTTATGTACATGTGACCATACTTTTTTTATTATGTAACTCAGGGGCGCACCCAGGAATATATTTTAGGGGGGGTTTTATATTTTTGAAGATATATCACCGGAAAATACTGAAAATTTTCTTCAGATAATACGCTCTTTAAAATATATTTATGCAAGTTTTATGTAAAGTATGTAATAAATAAATAAGCGTTTTAAAATTCATAAACTGCACTTTATTTACATAAGATTAACAGAACTCAAACACTTTTAACCGACTTTAAAAAAAGGGGAGGTTATCAATTCGCCGGAATACGTAACGTTGGACCACGTGAACCGGTTTTTATAATAATTTTTTTGTAGAAAGATGGTACCTCAAGGTTCGGCCCGTAATTTGGTTTAGAGATCCGATGATTGGATCATGAAGAAATTAACGGTACCCCTAAATTTGAATATAAGAATTGAAGTCGGTTGTGTTCTTTCCTTAAAAACTACTTTTTTTAATAAAAAGTTCTATAAACTCAAGATGCGCTCAACTTTCAAAAGTACCTAATAAAAAATATTAAAAAAGACTCAGTAAAAAAAAATTATTGATTCCATGAATTTTTGCTCTTTATGTTCCTTTTTTCAATTTCTGGTTTTTTCGATAAAAATGGTGATTTTTCACGATTCCTAAATTTTTTTAATATTTCGAATACCAAAAAAATTAACTGAACTCTCAAGAAAAACGAAAAATTCATATAAAACGACGGACGAGAAATGGAAAAGAAATTTTCTACCAAAATTTCTTAAATCAGTTTGCAGCTCTCAAGAAAAAATGCTCGTATATTCATTTCCTCATGAAAATTGACAGCAAAAGCAAAGCGCTTTTTCAAGCAACAGAAATCATAATAAATATTTCTTATAATTTCCTTGAGAGCTGGATTCTCAGCTTTAAGATACAGTTTGTATTTGAGGTTATTAGCTTTAGGGGGGGTTTGAACCCCAAAACCCACCCCTTGTGTGCGCTAATGATGTAGCTAATTTTAAGGGGGAGGGGGTTGAGTATGGTAAGAAAATAACTTGTGTCAAAACCAAGCTAATTGGACAATGTTGTTGAGTACTACCTAAACACATATACTCATCATTTGAACATACAAAAAAGCAGAAAAGTCTTGTTTACGACATGTTTTCACATTTTATTTACTGCCTTTACACTTTTTTTACATTCAAATAATGCAATATTTTAGCTGCTATTAATTTCGCACATAAAAAGTAATCATTTGACCGAATGTGCATTGCCACAAATGTATATACATGTAATTATTTTGACTTACCTTGCACATCGACCGACTGTATGGCTATTGTTTTCACAATGGGCAAATACTTGGGATCTGTATTTTGCTGCACTTCAGAAACGACAATAGTCTGTGGACCTATACGCGTGCTGTTGTTTCTACGTGAGCGTTTAGTTCGGCTCTTGAATAGCCAAAGTACAGCGGTGTTCACATCAAATCCATCCGCATCGGCATCATCAATTTTGAATGAGAAACACATGGACGAATTGGTGCCCAAACGTTGGCATTCGCGCTTTTCTGAAAGCGAAAAATTTTAAAATATTGATTTAAATTAGAGATTTAGTCTTTAAGATGACTAAATCCAAATATTAAAAATTTGAAGACACCTACCTCTTTGGAGGAAGATAAACTTTTTGCTAGTCCGCGCGTAGTAATCATCGAGATCTTTATTTTTTGCGCTATCATCTTCCTCCTCCTCGATAGTTGTACCCTCATAAATGGGTTTGGGTAGGCCAACCGCTGAAACATTCGGTCGCTCTTTCAGCCGCAATTTTTCCAAAATCTGTTGCTTGACATACTCTATACGCAGTTGTGTGAGTTCTTCCTCACTTATGTGTTCCACGCGCCGACTACTTTCACATTTCGGGCAACCCGATTTGACAGTGATTTCTTTTTTCTTTTGGGCCGCTTCGTTTTGCTCATTATCGGCCACTTCAAGCCAATTGTTATTTGTCGCATTCGAAGGCGCAACAGAATCGTCAAGTTCATCAGAGACAGAGAGTGATTGTGAAAGTGAGAGCGATACATCTGCTCCACTCTGCGATTCATCGTTATAATCACGCGGCGCATCACCAAGCATAAGATCTTCGGTGGCGCCCAAGTGCTGCCAAATGCGTGGCATGCGCATACTGAACACTGTACTCGTGCCGCGCGGCGCTTCCCCTTTTGCCTGAAGCTCATTCAACCGCGCCGCTACTTCCTCTTCCTGCTGCTCCTCTGCTAATTGCCTGGCAGTGCGATGGTACTCCTCTTTGTGGTGTCGCAGATGCTCCTCTTGATGCGCCATATGACGCTGTATGTGTATATAGCGGCGCAGCGCCGCTGCGGCCTCTTCGCGTTCCGCACGCTCTTCCTCGCTGTTCATAGCATCTGGTGGCACATTTTCATGCCAGGACGATTGTCGTATACGACGCGCTTTGGGGGCACGGGGGCGTTTATTATTCACTCTGTGCGAACGTTTGTGTATCTGTTGGGGGGATTGCACATGAAATAGATGTCGCGTTTGTTCGTATGGTGGCGGCACATAGTGCGCATATGGTTGCGCGCTATCAGAGTCGTTTGACGCTGGTATGTCGCTGTGCTGACGGCCGTAGATGATGCTGTGATCTAGCGCAACGAATGCGATCAGCATGAAAGATATTAGATATCTAACCATTTCCGCTACGTATTATTTGAAGGTTAAGGTAATTTATTAAGTAATTTTTGTTAATAATTCACTTTTAATATGATTTAATTTTTCCCACTCAATTACTATCTTCTTGGTAACATTAAAACTTCCACTTTAGTCCATTGATGTTTGAAAAACATAGAATAAATTTTCACTTTAGTTTCTATTTTACTTTGTTTGGAGTTATTTCTCAGTGTAGATCTGCTAAAGCAAATTCATTTGACAAATAGCATGTATTAAACGAAGTTATTGATAGTTGTTTTGGTGATGTTAATAGTTGGTAAACCATTTATGGAATTTTGTGACTGCAGCTAAAAAGAAAGAGAGGAAATAAATTCAGTAAAAAATAAGCCACATGTTCAAATTAAAAGGCTCCTCAAAAATTATTTTATGGAAATATCATTACCAATGTATTTACATTGTACAAGTATTAAATATTTTTTAGAAGTAAAGATTAGCAGTAGTTTAAAGTCACTTTGAATCTTCCTAATGCTGGTAATCCAGAACACACCAACGTAATTAAGAGTTTAATTGCGTTATAAAGCCCCGGTACTAGTATGGGGGCCGATGAGTTGTAGTGGTTAAAAGAGCACTATACTACTCTGCAGGGCCTGTGGGTAAGCCCGGTTTCCGAAAAAGTTTTTTTGTTAATAGCAGACGCCCACTGCAGGAAATGACAAACATCCGAATATATTTCTACCGTGAAAAGCAGCTTCTCATAAAAATACAATCGCCGTTCGGAGTCGGCGTAAAACTGTAGGTCACAATATCCAGGCACACGCCACAAATCGGAGGAGAAGCTCGCCAACCACTATTGTGTAAGCGCCAATATCTTTCGTAGGACCCTAAGATCATACTTTAACTGAAGTTCTGTAAATATTAAATATACTATAAATAAAATTATAGTTAAAAAACTAAAAACACGCTTCTATTACAACAAGAACTAAAAAGTATAAAATAATTTATAGATATACAGTGGACTTTATTTTGACTATGACTACGGGCCAATCACTTGAATCCCATTTTTAGCTAATTTAAAAAAGTTAAATTAAATCAAGTTAGGGAACTTCCTATTCTTCTTAAACGGAATCGCTATATCTATAAGTTATTTTATACTTTTAAGTTCTTGTTGTTATAGAAGCGTGCTTTTAGTTTTTTAACTATAATTTTATTTTCTACTTTTTAGTTTTTTGAAATCTTGCAATTAATATATTACTGTCTGTATATTTCTCATTCAGTCCTTTCAATGCGAAGAAAATTTTCCGCACCCTGCTTTTTAGCTACACTTTTTACCTAACGTGCTAGATTTGACCTTAACAAACAAAATTTTCAATGTATTTCAATTAAATAGGTAATCACATATTCTGAATATAAACCAAATCGGAGCACGGATGCCGATTTTTTAATTATATAGACTCGCGCGCCACATAGCTGCCAAAATTTTTTGTTTAGTTATTTCTTTTCATGTAAGCAATATGCATTCGAAATGTGAACTTAATCGTATCATAAATACGGTTTTTCCAAATATCTCGACTCCTGCGCCACCTATCAGCAAAATTTTTTGCGGATTTATTTCTTTTCACGCAAGTAATATATGTTCTAAATATGAATGTGGGTTTTACAAATATCTCGACTCCTGCGCAACCTAGCGGCAAATATTTTTTTGGATTTATTTCTTTTCATATAAGTAATATATGTTCCAAATATGAACCTAATCAGACTATAAATGCGGGTTTTACAAATATCTCGACTCCTGCGCCACCTTTTTATATTGCATTGTCCTCGAGTACTGAGCTAAGTTTGAAGTTTCAAGTCTGTAGGTCATCGGGAAGTTTGTTAAATATTGAGGGCAAAGTTCCAGGACATACAAAGATACATACATACATACATACATACATACAAGTGAAGTTAAATAAAAGCTTGTAAAAAAGTAAGAAAGTCTATAAAACAAGTAAGAAAGTCTAAGTTCGCACGGAGCCGAACATTAAATACCCGGCGCAAGTATTAAATACATGTCTTTCACCTTTCCGAAAACTACCGCTACGTGGTAAGCAGGGGTGGTTACCCCTATTTTAAACATCTTCGATAGAACGTTCAGTTAGACATAGTGAGATAAACTTGTATAGTCATATGTGGGCGGTATCACGCCCATTTTCCAAAATTCCAAATAATGTTACTTATTTAAGGCATTGTTGTTAGTATCAATTTTGAGTAAATTAGCGACCTTAAATTTCGAAGTATTGAAGTTTCAAGCATTTCTGAAATTCACCGATATATGAAAAGTGCCCGTAATTTTAGTCCGATTTCAATAATTTTCAACGTTTTGATATTATGTGGCAAGCACAATAACTGATAGAACGGTTACCGAGATACATATATGTGATCATAAGCGGGCGGTGCCACGCCCATTTTCCAAATTTTATCATAAACATATTTCTTGTTAAATATTTATTGCAAGCATCAATTTTACTGATTTATCGAAGATTTCGTATTGCTCTAAATAACCGTTATATGGGATGTGGGCGTGGTTATTGTCCGATTTTAAAAATTTTCAGCCATTTGGTATGTTGTGGCAAGGCCTACAACTGCGCTAAGTTTGGGTGAAATTGGTGGAGCGGTTACCAAGATATACACTTGTAATCATAAGTAGGCGTGGCTACGCCCGTTTTCCAAAAATTTATAATATTATTATTCGTCCTCTAAAAATCATTTAAATATTAATTTTGAGTTAGTAAGCTTTAGTAGTTACTAAAATAACGCAGTTTTCGTATTTCTGAAAACTACGAATCTAGATAGATATAGACAAATGTATACATAAATGATCAGAATGAAAAGAGAAATCGATTAAGCGGTCTGTGCGTCCGTCCGTCCGTCTGTCTGTCCGTCTCTGCACACGATAACTCGAGTAAAAATTTAGATATCTTAACGAAACTTGGTACGTGCACTTTTTTCGGACGCAGGATGGATGGTATTGAAAATGGACAATAACCACGCCTACCTCCCATATAACGGTAATTTTCAGATAACGAAAACTGCGATATTTTAGTAACTACTGAAGACAATTCACTAAAAATTGATATTTGCAATAATTTTTAGGCAAAAAATAAGAATATTATAAATTTTTGGAAAATGGGCGTAGCCACGCCCACTTATGGTTACATGTATATATCTTGGTAACCGCAGCACCAATTTCTTCCAAACTTGGCACAGTTGTTGGCTTTGGTACAGCATACCAAATGGCTGAAAATTTTTAAAATCGGAAAATAACCACGCCCACATCCCATATAACGGTAATTAAGAGAAATACGAAATCTTCGATAAATCAGTAAGTATTAAAGCTAATTTATTCAAAATTGATGCTTGCAACAATTCTTTACCAAGAAATACGTTTATTATAATATTTTGGAAAATGGTCGTGGCACCGCCCACTTATGATCACATATATGTACCTCGGTAACCGTTGTACCAATTTGTACCAAACTCGGTATGGTTATTGTGCTCACCACGTAAAAGCAAAGCGTTGAAAATTATTGAAATCGGACTAAAATTACGGCCGCTTTTCATATAACGGTAAATCTCAGAAATGCTTGAAACTACATATTTCGAAATTTAAGGACGCTTTTTTACTCAAAATTGATATACCCCGGCTTATCATGTAGCGGTACTTGCGCCGGGTATCTTATGTTCGGCTCCGCCCCAACTTAGACTTTCTTACTTGTTTTATTTTAATTTTGCTGACTGAGGCACGCATGTCCTTCCATACAAAGTTGCTGGGTTCGACAATTTTTTTGTATAGATGAAAGTAATATTTAGACCTGGTCCAGTACTTCATGAACTCCAAAATCCTGTAAATGAGGGCGATTTTTGGTGAGTTGTGTAGAGAATGAAGTTGCAAGATTTTACTTTCTTCTGGTAAATTCATGAAAAGTGTCAAGCGATCACTGTTCGACGTTTTTATAGGAAAAATGCTTTTCATGTTCCCGTACTTTTTGTTGTTACTCACATTTTACACTCACTTTAGAGAGTAATTTGGCTGGTTGATATTTTTACAGGCTTTCACACGAAAAGTATTAGATCAGAGCTAATAAAACCGTCACACAGTGGGAAGCATATAAAATGTGGGCAAGCATAGAATTATGGAGTAAAAATGAAGACGCCTAACTCCAAAATGTAATTTGTTTTTGGATAACTTTCACACTTTCACTGTAAATGCAGTTTTAAGTTGAAAATTTGGGTTCTTGTGGCATTTACATAGGTATGTACTAGTAATCCTGGGATCCCGGCCTGTTTAAGGTCCCAAAAATCCCGGGATTCTTTGCAAATAATCCCGAGATCTTTGGTTTTTTGTAGTTTGCACTGATGACAATAATAGAGACTCCTTTCTTGAACAGAATTGGCTATATTTCTTTTTTTATTTAATAATTAATATTTTATATAAATGTCTAGCTCATTATACATACAACACCGCATGATAGTAAATTTTAAGTGCAATCAATAAATTAGCGAAACCATGGGTCAAATATAGTAAAATTGCGTTTTTAGTTTTTCACTCTGAGGTCAGTAATTCAAAAATGATTTAAAAAGTTCAGAGAAATGTGCTTAGAGAAGAAGTATGGGTATCAAATTAAAGAGGAAATCCTATAGAATTTAAACAGATTCAAGTGTTTTGTGCAGAAGGACTGCTACGTATTGAAAATGTCCTTTTAAAATTGTATCCTTGAAATTTCGCAATATTTATTTTTGAAAAAAAAATATATGTTAAGGACTGTAGTTAAGAATATATAAACTTATCTAAAAAAAAGGTTTAATCTAACATTCTAAATGAAATTATGTTGTTTACAGCTCCAGCAAAAGCGAAGAAGCGAAAAAATTTTATTTTTGATTTACAAGCAGCAAAAATCACTTAATTCTAAAATTTCATAATTACAAATATAACAAGTAAGAAAGTCTAAGTTCGGGCGGAGCCGAACATTAAATACCCGGCGCAATTATTAAATATATGTTTTCCACCTTTCCGAAAGCTACCGCTACACGATAATCCGGGGTGTATAAATTTTAGGTAAATTAGCGTCCTTAAATTTCGAAATATTGCAGTTTTAAGCATTTCTGAAATATACCGTTATATGAAAAGCGGTCGTAATTTTAGTCCGATTTCAATAATTTTCAACGTTTTGCTTTTATGTGGCAAGCACAATAACCATACCGAGTTTGGTATGGNATCTCGATTCGTTTTGCCTGTTACAAACAACCGTTATGTGAACAAAGTTATAATACCCTTGTGCACAAGTGCGCTCGGGTATAAAAATGAACAAATTGCAATAAAACTATGAACCCTTCAAGGACTTATATAAACTCGATAACATCCTCGAACTTCGTCCTTCTAACTTTATCAGCTTAAAAAATTACCAATTCTTTCTTGTCAATCCAAACAATTTTAATTTTTTTAAATTCTAAAGAAATTTCCTCTTGCAACTGGCACCCAAATTTTTATTCTATGTACATTGCATTGAATTTTTAAATAGTTTTTGGAATAAATCATATCTTTGAAATTACAAAGCCCTTTAATTAAATCCTGACGTCAGAGAGAAAAAATAAAAGCGCAACTTTAAACAAAAAAGTAGGTTTCAAAACCATTTATTAATTATTTATTTTATGGTAGGAGAGCTTCTCATGCAATATAGAAACCACTTTTTCGATTTAAGTTGTTGAAAAGTAATGATTATATAAATCCCGGGACTTATCCCGGAATCCCGGGATTGTGACAACGACATACCGAAAATCCCGGGATCCGAAAAAGCTGAAGAATTAACATCCCTAGTATGTACATTTAGTTCGTTCTACTTTCAAAAGTGAGGTGTTAAATGACAGGGACTGCCTTTAGATGTGCAGTGAAGTTTTATTTTTTTTGAAACGGGTTGCCACCTGCTACAAATTTTACTAAAATTATTTAATAAGTTAAATGAATTAGATATTACAATGTGGGTTTCAATTGAATTGGTTTTGAAATGGTTTTGAAAATGCTTTACTTCTAAACGACACGTAGAAGGGTTGCGACATGTTAAAAAAATCAAATTCACTTTGATTAAGAGAATAAGGTAGCAGAAATATGTATATCAATATGGGTATCAGACAAAAGAAAACATTGGACATATTTTACAAGAAATAAGTGAAGAGTAAAAACACTCCTGAGTTAATTTAGGGGTCCAGTAATTTAAAAGGAACGTAATCAGAACAAATCACCGATTGATACTAAATGTATTTGTAATAAAATAATAAATACGAGGTCGTAAACCTTTGGTTTGGCACAATCATTGTTTTAGTTTCATTAAATTTGACTATACAAACAGGTGGCAACAATCTTCGTAATATTTGCAAGCTAAAAGTTTTTTAAATCTTTTTCATCTGAATTGAATTGATTTTCTATGCAGTTGGCAACTATGAGCTCATTTAACTCATTAAAAAATTTGAATTTAATTTTTTAACAGGTGGCAACTATTTAACAAAAAGAAATCTCTATTTTCTACAGGTGAAGCTCTTATTAATATTCTTAGTATAAAATTTGTCGATTTTGGTGGTTTCCTAGCGGCATATAATTTATTTTATACGGAAATTTGTGTTTGGTTCTTTTTAGTGGATAAATTACCTTTAAAAAATACGAATTTTTTGATTTTTGCCCACTTAGGCGGTACTGTGCGTCGGAAAAAAAATGTTCAAAAAGCAATGCAAATTCTGTGCCTATTGAAACTTCCCCTTTTTAACTAGAATTTATTAAGCTAAAAAACCGAATACCTAGAATATTTTTTGCTAATTATGTTTATTGTTTACTTGTTTTTTCTTTTTTTTTTTAGATTGTTAGTGTTTGGCCGAGCTTCTCCTCTGATTTGTGGCGTGCGCCTTTATATTAGTCACACAAAGGGGAGGGACCGACAGTTTTACGCCGACTCCGAACGGCGATTGTACTTTTATGAGAAGCTGTTTTTCATGGCAGAAATACACTCGGAGGTTTGCCATTGCCTGCCGAGGGGCGACCGCTGTTAAGAAAAAACCTTTTTTCTATATTTTTTTGCGATGTTGCTTTGACCAGGGCTTGAGCCTTGGCCCTGCGGAGTGGAAGCGCGCTCTGCTGTATTAAATTCTCTAATAAAGAGTATAAAATTCTCTAAAATTTACACTACAATTGAATTGATGGCCCGTGCAGCTATTTTCTCAGAAGATACGAGGCGAGAAAGAGTCAGAAACCTAGGTGAAGCAGAAGAAGAGGGAAATTCCTAGGTTAGAATTTTTATTTATTTTTTGATAAAAGCAACTGCAATATTGTAAACTTTTATATAACTATAATTAGATTTCAGTTCCCAATAGTTTTTTTATTCTTAAAATTTTGACTTTAAAGCCTTTCTTCTTAGGATGAAGTCATTCGAATTCACTTCAACAACTAATGTGGCTGATATTTTCTATAAATTTTAATAATACTTGTCATTAAAAAAAATTATTCAATACTATTCCCCATTAAATTTGATCTACGCACTTCGCGACTAATAAAAGCTCTATTATTTATGTATTTAAAATACGTGTAAAACGTTATCACCACAGCCAATATTGCGCTTTTATTGATTTTATTGAACGCAATATTTTTCGGCTACTTGTCGGTCGTACGATGGATTAGGACGTCATCGACGACATTATATACTTGCAGCACAGTTTTTAACTTTTTTTTGTTTTGTTTAGGTGTGTTCGACACGAAGTGGCTATTTGTTGTATTTTTTCTTAGGATTTTTTTTTTCAAACCTTTCATGCAACTAATTTACTTAAAATCTAAGTAACGTGTAAAACAGTGCATTTTGAAAATATTCACTTATTTTAATATCTTTTATCAACTTTTACTGTTTTATCTGCTTCTATTGTCTTAGCACTTGTCAAAAACTTTGGCGCACTTAAATCACTTTTAATTTATTGTAGTATATGTACCTACATATGTAAATTCAAATTAACAGTCCTTCAAATCACTTTTAATTTATAGTTTTTATTGTATTCGAGCAGATAGCGCGACACGCATTTAGCCACCTTGCGATGCATTTGATGAATGAAGTGATATACTATCGACGCAGTGGTTTTATTAATAAACTTGGAAACGTTTTAGTGGTAATAACTAAGTAGCTGCTGCCTGCATCGGCGTCACTAGAATGACCAAAGCACTGCTGTGCTTACACCCAAAAGCTTGCCCTCCCAAACGCCCTTTGCGATCATGCCGCCGGCAACTAGTCAGCTCCGCAAAGCAACTTACAACTCAATTCAACTATAAATTGCCCGCACATACAAACATGGTACACCCTGAAATGTACTATATAGTTACGGTGACCATAAATATATTTCGAAAATGCAGGACAATTTTTCAAAAAATTAACCTACATATAATTGCGTAGTATAAAAATAACAAAAATATACTACATATATACATTCTTCGTCATTTGAACAGCGCACCCTTTTTTTGATTTTCTACCATACAAAGTAAGCTTGACAAAATTTTTATATGGAAGAAGACAAAAAAAAAAATTGTCGCCCCTATGTTTATTTTTTTTTAATTTTCAAAAATTTTTTAAATGGGATGTTTTTCTACATGCTATATATATTATATATTTTTATAAAAAGTTAATGAATATTAAACAAACAAAAGGAAAACTGTACCTACTAAGTATTGGGCTGTATGAATAAAAATAAGCAATTGCTTTTTCTTGAAATTTCAGACCTTTTACTCAATTTATTCAAACAAAATTGGAGTAAAAGGTATACAATTTTAAGAAAAGGCAATCGCTTAGTTTTTATTCGTACGGTCCATTAAAAGGATGCGCTATTCAAATAACCAAGAGTGTATATTTCTTAATTATTAATCCAATTTTATACTTTTAACATAAATCACAATTGCTTCATTGGTATTAATCCTTTAGTAATGAATATTTACAAAATTATAATAAGGCATATTACGTATTACTTTACACGAAATATGAACCTCTGTAAAGCAAATTCTTTAGGCAAACTTTGGATCGTTGAACACGAAAAAAATACCCATGGTTTCAAAGAAGTGTTTTCGAGATTTGTTCGAAAAACGTATTTTTAGTATTTCCTTTTTGGTTGTTGTTGTGTTTTTAGTACTTTTTCAATTATTCCTCAATATTTCATGAAACGACCAACAGTTCGAAAGGTATTGATGGGTTCTTTGCAATAATATATATTTTTTGTGCAGATTGTGTTCCGTAACATCTAAATTTCTCATCAGATTTTCATTTACTGTAAAAAGAAAATGATTGTAATTTAAATTTTTCGATTTTGGTCGCTTGTAACACTAACAATTTTCTTCGAAATTGGCAAAGTAATATATTTTTGTAAGAGGACTGCAGGTCGCTTATGTTGATCGGATAATTTTTTCATGAGATATTGACGAATAGGTCCGAAATGTACCAAAAACACGTTTTTCGAAAAAATTACGAAAACGCTTGTTTGAAAAGAAAATTGGCTTGAAAAATATTTTTTTTCTTAAGCGATTACCACAAAATTTGTAGAACAGTGTTATCGATATATTTGATGCTGGTCTTCAATTTCTCGTCATCTATTGTCCATAACCGTACAATATTTAGAACGCATTGACTAGTTGAACCTTCAAAACCAGCTTACCCTTATGTAGTTATCAATTAGTTATCGACACTGCTTTTATTTCGATTAGGAAAAGTTAATTTTAAAATATCGAAGAAAATGCGAGACAAAGGCAGGACACTTGGAAAAAATCAGTACATTTTGGGGGTTTTCTGTTTTGAAAAACTACGCAGGACAGACCTTTAAATAACAGTACGGTCCTGCAAAAAACAGAACGGATGGTCACCGTATATATAGTATATACATACATACACATTTAAATTTATTAGTACGCAAGGGAATAAAGTAGCTTGCTCTATGCCGGCCGAGAGCGATTACCTTTCGTCATGAAATTACTAATGAAATTGCATCAGCTTGCAAGCGCACTGAGCGTGAGCGGCTTGGCCCCAAACATTTCATATGGGTATACCAATCGCTGCTACAGATTGCATTGCAATTTACAGGCGTAGCTGACGGGCAGCAAACAGACAGAAGAGACAGTCAAACATTATGCAGATACAAACATATATTTATGTATGTATGTACGAGCATATTGCTATATCTAAATGCATGCAAAAGTATGTACATATATTGTAATAAATCGAATATCGATCGTCAGCACACGATCGTTTAATGCTTGGAGTCGAAAGACAGCAAACGAGCTTGCCAACCAACCCATTCAGTGGATCCCATTTCAAAGCGTCACTGCCGTAAGAAAATATCTATGCATATATGTATGTACGTACATTAGAGTCGTCCAAAAATTGTAAAGTCGGAATTTTAATGCCGCCACCCCCTGGGATTGTTCTGTACCGAAAAAATTATACCCTTATTTTTCTACCCGAGCGCACTTGTGCACAAGGGTATTATAAC